GTAAGATATAATGTATGTAAAATTTATAACTCTGAATTATTGCGAATGAAGTGTTTAAGAGAACTAGATCGGATAAGTTCTTCACTTATATCTTTGACTCATTGACACTAATTGGTTGTATGCCCATAATTTTGAGGAAAATGACAATCAGCATGAAACGAAAATGGTAAAGGTGGTGGTACACGCACCAATCAAGTTTGAAAGCCTCTTGCAATATGTGTTTTCTACTAGCATTCAATTATGTGTAATGTGTTGTGCCAGTGTGTGGGTATTCTCCAAAGTTCCACATTGAATAGTTTGAAGAAGGGAGTAGAAGGAAACCAATATAAAAATAAGAGATTGAGATGAGTATTAGATAAGGATGACAAAACGGGCTAGGCCCGGTGGGTTGGCCCGCCAGCCCGCCATAATATGGCGGGGCGGGTTGGTGTTTTCAGCCCACCAGCCCATTTTGACCTGTCTCGCCAAGCCTGCCAACCTGCCGGGCCAACCCGCGGGACGGGCGGGCTAGCTCACGGCCCGCCTAATTAATAAAAAAATATTTTTTATTGTAATAAAATTAATTATAAAGATAATATATAAAGTTAAATTTTTTAAAAAGAGAATTAAAAAAGTTTCACTCTCACATAAGAAAATATTATCTTTACTCGAACACATAACCTTCCCTCTCCTTGTTCATTCTAAACACTATTATTTTTATCCTTATGACTTAAATTAAAGGTGTAAGAATTACTCAACCAAGAATAATGTGAAGTTTTATCAAATAAAAAAGATATAGGTATTTGAATTTTTCAATATAAAAAATATAAATTTTATAAGTTTTAACGTATATATATATATATATATATATATATATATATATTTTATTATTATTATTATGTAAATTTTATTATTGTTCTAAGTTATAAATTTTAAAATAATGTATTGATTTATATTATTAAATTGAAATAATATATATATATATATATATTGAATTATTGATAAACAAATAATAATCTTATTATTAAATTTATTAAAAATATTTATTTTAAAAAATAAATTATTTTTTTCTAAATTATGGTTGACTAACCCGCCCTTAGCGGGCGGGTCAAGATCTACAGCCCGTCATGACTATATTGGGCCAGTCCACCCCGCCTTGCTTTTGGCGGGCCAAAACAGGGTGGACTAGCCCATTTTGTCATCCCTAGTATTAGATACCACAATTTAAAAGAGTTTTCTTTGTGTATAAGGGGTTAGAATGAGTTGTGAGTCAGAGAGGATTTACAGTTTTTCCAGGCACAAAATTGTATGTGAGGATTTGCAATTTTCCAGTCCTAAAAATTGCACGTTGAGTAATAAAATATTGTTGAGTGTGTTCGTTGATGTATTTTGTGTGCTTTTAATTGTTTGTTATGGGTGTGTACTTCCGCTGGTTGAGTTTTGTGTGCATGTGTTCTTTTCCCTTCTGGTACCCAACAATGGTATCAGAGTTGTTGGTTTGGTGTGGTGGACTCTGTGAAATTCTTAATTCTTAGTATGCTTTGTGGTTGCAGTATTATCTGATCTTCCACATCAGAAAAGAATTAAGGTTTTGTCCTAAGGAGGAAGAGAAGCAGTACATGGGTCAGAGCAGTGCAGGTGTTATGACTATGATGAAGTTAAATGTTCCTTTGTTTGATGGGAGGATAGATTTCTCCTTATGACAATGCACAATCCAGGACTATTTAGTCCAACAGGATTTCGATTGTGCCTTAGAAGAAGAAAAACCAATTGAGATGAAAGATTCAGAATGGAGTACAATCCAGAAAAAGGCAATGAGCACAATTCGATTGGCATTAGCTCCAGAAATCAAAGTGACTGTGTTGAAAGAAACATCTCCAAGGAAATTGTGGGATTTGTTGGAAAGCAAGTTTGCATCAACGACGTTGACCAATCGATTGATGATGAAAATGGATTTGTACTCATTGAAGATGGAAGATGAAGGTAATATGTTTGATGAATGCAGGGGAGACTATCAAAGATGAAGAGTAAGCATTGTTGTTGTTGGCTTCTATACCCAAATCTTATAAAACACTAATGCAATCATTGCTAGTTGGGAAGAGTATATTGCTACTAGATGAGGTGATAAGAACGTTGAAGGAGAGTCAACAAATGATGGGTGATAATAAATCCTCTGAAGACAGTCAGATACTGCTAGCTAAAAGCGAGCGATGAAAGAAGAAGTATGGTGATCAATATGGTAGAAGGTTCCAGTCGAGAGATATGAGTATTGTTAAGTGTTATTACTGTAGAGAGTTTGATCACATTCAAGTCAAATGTAAAAAATTCAAGGAGGACTTGAAATATATGAAGGAAAAGAAGAGTATTCCTTCTGGAAATATGGTTAGTCATGATGATGGATTAGTGTGACACTTTGAATGAAGGGAGGATATGTTGTGTCAGTGTGTGAGTATCCTCCAAAGTCCCACATTAAATAGTTTGAAGAGGGGAGTGGAAGAAAACCACTATAAAAATAAGGGATTGAGGTGAGTATTAGACACCACAATTTAAAAGAGTTTTCTTTGTGTGTATAAGAGGCTAGAATGAGTTGTGAGTCAGAGAGGGTTTACAGTTTTTCTAGGCAAAAAATTGTATGTGAGAGTTTGCAATTTTTTGGTCCTAAAAATTGCACGTTGAGTAATAAAATATTGTTGAGTGTGTCGTGGATGTAGGCCTTGAGGTGTTGAACCACGTTAAAATATTTTGTGTGTTTTTAATTGTTTGTTGCGGGTGTGTGCTTCCGCTTGTTGAGTTTTGTGTACAGGTGTTTTTTCCCCTTTTAGTACCCAACATAATGTTCATACTTAATTAGGTTGAGTAAGTCCCATAAGAGGTGTCTTTCCTATTTTAAAATCTAACATTGTTGTCTTTCATGCAGAATATAAATGATTGCGCAAGTGTGCAACTCATTGAGGGATCTCTCTCAGTAGAAAAACAAAACAATTATCAATCAAAAGTCTCGATTGTAGAGGAACTTGTATTGCGTGTAAGACAATAATCGAATATAATTTGATACTTTTGTGAATTGCACTATGAATCTGCGAAAGGATTCACCATCACTCTGTTTCACACTTTTTAAGACACATATGTGGCTTTGTGCATATTGCTAACTACGAACCTTACTTGGAACCTCTCTATTAACATAGTAGGAATCAGTTGAGTTATATGATAGAGAGTTGTACCATTGTAAGGTCGGTCCTCGTAATGTGATGGAAAAAACTCGATACAAGACTACTCCATTATTGGTACACAATTTTTTTTGTTCTTTATACAATGCTAAATACTCATATGGATTTGTCGAGTCATCATACTTTTCCTCATGAGTGGTTCCAAATTAGCTAGGAAAGAAGTTTTCATTATTTTTGGAATGAATGGATGATCGTTATTTTCTTCACATATTTTGATTCACCGTGTATGCTGACGAATGTGTATAATGGATCCTGATATAAGGTTTTGATTATAAGTTGTCGATGAGAGTTCCAAGGTGGGAGTTCAATAATTGATTTATTAGTGTGTTCGCGTTTAGTATTCTTCTTTTATTGGTTCCTTATTACTTTATTTGGTGGATTGACATTGTGTTGAAAGGATTTTCAAACCTATGTCTAGGTTAACTTTTTACTTTTTCTGAATTTGGAATTATCGTGCACATTTTGATGGTCGATGCCTATAATTGTTAGATTCGCGTTTGACCCGATGTGATAGTCTCTTCTAACTACAAATTTAGCCTTGTTAATTGAGATCATTTAATGATAACCTTTTATTTGTTTTGTAAAATTTGAAGTTGGATCTAATATTGCGTCTGAAATCATTCCAAATCTTGACCTTTTTAATTGAGGTTGTTTAATAATGACTTTTAATTCGTTTTATAAAGTTTGAAACTTGTCCAAATATTACGTTCAAACTCATTTCAAATTTTTGGGTGTTTTTTTTTGAACTTGCATATCTCGTGATTTTTTGTTTACATTCATCTACGTATTTCTTGAGGTTATTAATGACATTTACAAAATTCATATTATCATTTGAATTTAATATCATTTAATTTCAAGTCAAGATAATGAGATGAAAAAAATTGTAGAGATATTTTACTAAGGTCATAAAATGAACACCAAATATTTCTAGTAGAGATTAACAAAATGGTGTAAAGTTATACTAAGGAAATCCATGTTCTAAATTAGGACTTCAAAATAATTAGGTTGAAAATATTTTTTATGAAAAAAATATAAACCCATCTATAAAAACCATTACGACTTCAAAATGATTAAAAATATTATTAATGACTTTTAAGATGGTTGAATATTTTTTTATGAAAAGAATATAAACTCATCTATAAAAGCTATTTTAATACTCAGTCTATTTTTAGACAAGAAAATAATATATAATATATTAAATATAAATGATTTAATAAAATTTACTTTGTGACGGAATGTCTTTAAAAAATATTTAGAAAATAATAATAATAATAATAACTCAACAAATAATAACTTATATAAAATATTATAATAATAAATAAAAAATAACTAATAAAATAATATATAACAAAATATTTAAATAAATAAATAATTTTAATAAATTTAGATCACTTCAAAAATAAAATGACAAAAAAATTTCAACTAATGATAAACAATTACCCAAATTGCACTTGCAAACATTTTCTTACACATGATCGTAAGTTGTGATTACCTTAGGTATTCACCCTTAAATTTTTATCTTATAAAATTTCAATGCACACAATACATCTTATAATACATTTATTATATTTATGTTTAATCTGTACCAAATATATATTACAATGCAATCTGTAGATGGTGAAAGGCAGGAAAAACAAGTGAGTACGGTACATCAAAGCTAAATATGGTCACCAACACACAAACCATTATAAAAGGTCAGCGCCCTATTATTTTATTTTTTTCAAACTTTTAGTACTTTAGCGACAAAGTCTTAGTCCCCTTCACCTCCTACATAGATCAGACAGAACCAGATCTTTATGCAGCAGCATCAACCGCGTGGTTGGCAAAATCCTTTTCCACAAAATCCTTGACATATTGCTGTCTGCGCATTGAAAATCATAATGAGGTTTTGACAGAAATGCATCTATCTGATTGTCTAACTGACTACTGACTGAATTTAAGTAATTACCTTGCAGGGAGATGGTCATTTGGGCGATTATGTGGAGTCCAAACTGGTTCACCAACAAAAAATCGCAATGCCTGCAGATATTAAAACAGCAAGAATTAGAATCACTTACAAGGTGGACTAAAGTCGGCAAAAATAATATAAAAGAAAGCTTTAAAATGCATATTAATTGCTGGAAGATAACAAAAATCAGTTTGCAAGATATCATATATCAACTTGCCACAGTCTTCAATCCTAGATATTACACAAATTCTTTTGAAAATTATCCTAAAATAAGATGATGGAACAATGATAGGTTGCTACCTTGTGTTGTGACCTAGACATTAGTTTAAACTCTTGGCTCCCTGGGGTAGAGGTATAAATATCTGCCCTCTCTAAAGCCTACTAGATTGGAATCTTGTATAGTATGTCAACCTAACAAACTATGAAGTGTGAAAAACACATTACATCATCAAAGAAAAAACAAATGAAATGGGCTTTCAATAGTAAATGAAACCTGTTATCTCTACACTTTTTTGAACTACAAAACAGAGGTTGGAGATGAGCCAGACCAGAAATAGAATGTGCTTCGCCACAAAAAGAATGTGGGTTCAGCATAGGTGGGGTGAGTTTATCTGGAAATTTGCTATTATGGTTTGGCCAGAAAATGGTTGGGGAAGAACCGGGGATAACAGCACTATCCTCCCTTAGTTGGCTGCTGTTGAGCCACGATTTTGGAAGCTATTCATGCAATGAAAAAATGCTACTCTATGATTTTATTGTAGCGGCCAGCAGCTATGACAATCTGCACTAATTGATAACTGTGCAAGTTACATCTTCGTCGTAACATATCTACAAGAATGGAACTAAACAATTTTTTGCAATCATGTTCTTCTTTCAATAGTACACAGACAGACACAAAAAACCTTCCAAAATGGCACAGGGCAATGTAATAAAGTATTTTGAGAACCAAAACATGAAGTTCACAAACAATGGGATACATACAGGAATAAATGTATAAGGATATAGTGCTTTTGCATTAGCAACAGAAAATGTAGAAGAGCGTTGTTCTTTTAAATATGCAGTCAATACCTTAATGTAGTTGTTCTCATCTAGTGTAAAGCGATGATAAATTCCAGCAGGCAAGATGATCATTCCTCCTTTCTTGACCCATACACGAATCCAAGCATCATTGCGATCCCTGACATCAAAATAGCCTAAACAAAAACAGGATTTTTTTGCAAATTAAAAAGGTAGACGAGGTGGAAGGAAAATCAATCAAAGAAAAGCTGAAAATTAGTTCATACCACTTCCAGCAGCACAAAAGCGGATTTCCTCATCGGTGTGAAGATGCTCTTCAAAGAAGCTTTTGATTTTCTGTTCATAATTTGGCAACTTTTCTGGGCAGACCTCACAAACATCCTGAAGAAAAAGGTGCCACAAGTTAATATATTAGAAACATATAAACATATCTAGGATGTCAAAATGCATCAAATTAGACATCAAAATAAAAAATTAAAATTGTTAAGTTTTGTATAAACAAAGCACAATGTTGGCTATAATTAAAATTACGGCGATCGTTTTGCATATTATTGATTTCTCAACATGCGCTTACTTATTTTGAGTAGACTGAAAGTTAATTCTAAACAACTACAATGAAACATTAGCATAACAAACCATGTAAGTGTAACCACGTTCTTCGCGAATCTTTTTCAGCTCTGGATCAGTCTCATAGTTATCAGCATCTAATTTCCAGCTAAGGACTCCAAGTTCTGCAAGTTGGTCGAATGAGACAAACTCCTTGGGTTCTTTGTGGTGGGGGAGTCTTTGATCTTCATCGCTATCATCCATGTACCATGCTTGAAGGACTTCCTCTCGTGGATCCTATGGAAAAAAAAATGACATTTGATTAAAAAAAAGTCCACCCTTATTCCTCCATAATTCTGAATGAGGAACTCATACAACATCTCCACAACCACAAAAGTAGTAGCAGCAACCGAAGTGCACCCTTTTTTAAAAATATTTCCAAGTAACTGGTTTACTCTTTGAGCGCATATAGATCCTTAGATGATGTCTCTCCATGTTTTCTTTCCAGGATTATTAGTATTTCCGAGTTATTACTCTAAGTATTGTATTTCTTAAAAAAAATGATTTATTAAGCTTTTTTAGAACAAATCTGATAATTCTCTGCTTCATTTTTTCCACTCAGTTGTTCCAATTTGTTCATAAACTTTTATGAATATCGATAACTTTTTTAAACATCTAACTGATTTGATATGGTTTGACAACATGATAAATATTTAAAGATTAAGAATATAATAGTAATCAGAAAGAAAATAATCTGTTTCAAATAGATAATAATTGGCCTTAAAAATATCATCACACCAGCGCTATGATACCGTATAAAACATTTAGACAAAAAGTAAGTTCTCTGAACTAGGAACAATGATAGTTAGCATCCAATTTTAGCAACCAACATCCGAACCTACTACCTATGCAGATCCACAGCAAACCTGCCTCACCCTTGTGTGGTCAAAAATAAGTAAACAACCAACAAATCACGAAAATATCAATGATTCCTCATGAAAACTAAAATTACCGACAGACACAAACAAATAGTAAAATTTGGATTCAAATAACAGACTAATATCATTAACATAATTATTCACGATTAAATCTACGCTTAGTTATCGAAGCAGAGGATAGCGACGGACTACTTTAAGACAAAAGGCAGAATTTACTGATAAACAAAAAAAAACAGGATTTTGACAAGATATAATAAGAGAGTTGGAGGAGTACCTTGTAGGTGGAAACCATGATACCGAGTTTGCTGCTGCGCTTTGTTTGAGCGTCTGTTTTTTCGATCGGATTTCTTCAACCCTGTGCTTAAATGCCTACGCCATTTATAAACCCTCCAATTGCCTCATAACTTTTTACCAAAATACCCTTTTCCTTGTGGAAGAAACGTATTGCGTTTTTTTTAATCAATCTAAGATTTTAATTTTTATTAAAAGTTATTTAAAATAAAAATTATTTACAAAATAGATATATTTATTATTAGTTTTTTTTTCTCTCTTCTCATAAATCATTTTTTTCTCTTCATATTTCTCTTTCTATTTTATATCTCTTAATTTTCTCTTTATTCTCCTACTTATTCTCCTAATTAAATTACTATAGTAAAATTTAATAAAAATATATTAAAACAAATCTTTTAAAAATAACAGTGAAACTACAAAAATATTAACTAAATATTTAAAATTATAATAAAAATAAATAATTTTATTATTTTAACAGTAAATAATATTATTTATGATAACATAAATAAATAATTTAAAATTATTTTATCATAATAAATAAGTACTCATTTAATTAAAAAATATTAAATTTTTATAATTTAAATTTATTTTTATTTAATACTTTAATTTAGTTATGATAATTAGTTTTTTTTAATATTTATTAAAAAATATTTTAAAATAAATATTTTTTTAATAATTATAATATAACAATAATATTTATAATATTTCAAATTTATCATATAATATTTTTTAATATAATATATTAAATTATAGTATTATTATTTGAATTTTTTTTAATAATAATAAAGACTCAACTTATCAAAATTTAATATATTATTTTGATGTAAGAAAAAAAATAGAATAAAGAAGAACACAAAAGAAATACAACGAATAAATAAATAAATAATAAAGAGAAAATTAATTGTATTATGTTAAACAAAATTATTTTTCCTTATTATTATATAAATAATAGATAGATATAGTTGAATAAATAAATTTAGAAAAATATTCTTCAAATAATTTTTTTAAAAATATACTATTTATGACATTAATTTGTCTAAAATCTATTTTGTAATTATCCATAAATGTATATTAAAAATAGAAATACCAAATAAACCGGGTTTAACTTTAGTGGATAATTAAATTTTTCATGTACAAAATTTAAAATATTATGTATTATTACAAACACTTATATAAAAATTTAAATACTTCTCTTATTCTTTGTACACATATTTAAAATGGTTAAAAAATATGAAAATTAAAATAATTTCAACGAAAGAATAATTCATAAATAAATTAGTATGTGTTGTTTGATTATTAATTATTTTCTAAACAGTTTTCAATTTTTCCAAAATTTAATGAAAAGGCGTTTTTTTAAATAAAATGATTATTGAAAACACAAGTTTTGAATACAATTCAAACTCGATGTACTGGTACAAACCTAATTTTAATTTAGAATGCGAATGGCTGCGTCTCTGGTCAAAAGATAAATAAATGTCAAAACATGAATTACTAATAATTACATATTTAAAAGATAAAAAGTATACGTATTTGTAAATTTTAATTAACAAGTTCAAAACATTTATGAAATTGTAATTGAAAAATGTATTATATTTACAAACCCTTTGTTACCTGCCTTCTAAAATATGTAAATGCAGGGTGTTGTCCAGGTCCAAATTGAAAGGTCAACTAAATAAAGGAGTTTTCAAAAATTTCTTTCACCCCACATAATTTCTTTAGCTTTATTTTCTCTTTGACCAAATAATAGAAATTTTCTAAAATGACAATAATTTGATCTGCATGGAGTATAATTTCAGTAATGTACAGATAAATCTCTGACCACACTGCACGGCAAACGACAGAAACATGAAAGATAAAATGAATGGATCTTATATACATGATTTGAAATAACTTCTTTCAATATCACTTTTTTCTACAAAATTGTCATATTACAATTTATACAACATTTTTAGCATTTATTTTTCTCTCCGTCACATTATTTATTACATCTTATACACCTCTGTTTTTTCCTCGTTCTCTCTTAATTCTAACATTTGTTGTTCTAATAACATCAATGATATTTGAATAAATCACCTTGGACAGTACTGTCTTTTAGAATGTAAACAAGTTTGGATCAGAATGGTTTGCCAATATAACTGGCTATGCATATTCCAAGGCTCTAGTTTCTAATGCTACTGATATTTCCTGCGAAAGATGAAGAGCATGGCTATGTTAGAAGAAATACGGGTAAATAGTCACAAAAATATTTGATTGGAACCACACAACAAACAAATAATGTATAGGCATAAGTTTCAAAGATCTCACGCTGACAGGTAATAAAATATGGTACTAAAGATATGCCTTTTCAGTATCTACGTTGATGCAATAAAAGAGTGTCCTCCTAATAAAGAGTCATCCCCTCTCCTTTATGTTGGTACTGTTGTTCTACTGAATATTTGTTATTCGATATATCCATTTTGTTTTAGGTTTAAGAAATGCCAAATGCTGTTTTTCAATGCTCGGGAGTCCAGCAAACGTGTAAAAAATTCACATCGAGATAAAGTAAGAGAGATTGGAAGAGCCATACTAATCTACTCCACCAATATTTGATATCTCGACAACTTTTTCTATTCATTGTTTTTTCTCTACCGTAAATAGGTTCATCTCTGACTTGCCACTCGATATTACAGATTAATATAAAATCACAAACGAGCATTATTAGTGTTGGTGCTTCCATACCCAACCGTGGACCCCAGATCTTAAATTTAGGAAACCGGAATTAGAACAAGAGCAACTCACGTACACACTCTTTCACACACATTGAAGTTAACTGAAGTTAAATGTTAGGAGAGTGGAATGGAACCCTATGGGTCCTCCATGTTTATCAAAGTCAATAATTAGATCAAAACAAAAATCATTTACCGAAACTTTTAACTTGCCTGTGGCTTTGCGGTGCTTGAGAATAAGCAGCTTGATGTGATGGCCTGTCCATGATCTAAAAGCCATCCCACTTCAGTTAGAGTTTCACCTTCCTTGCTTTGTTTAAGTGAACACCACAGCTTCTTAGGAAGTAATATATTGCTGTCTCCATCTCTGACAGAGTCCTGTACTTTGTCACCAAAAAGCTCTTGAAATATCTCCTGGAAATAAATAGAAAGATCATGACAATGAAGCCAATAAATCAAGGAAAATTCAGATTAAAAGTTATAAAGGGTACTAAGAGAGATCCTTGCACTGACAGTATTTGTAGTGCCAAAAGTGGCAACAGCTTTAGATCCCTTCCAAATACCATCAACATCAGAAGCAATCATGGGTGCTGTAGAAGCAAAGGCAGAATCACGGATAGCACAACCTCCTAGTTGATCACCATTTCTGAATGGCCCATACCACTGCTCACGAAACACTCTAATACCCTGTAGCACCATCTCTGTATTATTTAATACATCTACAAACTGAATAAACCTAACTCGAGATTCACAATCTTGAGGATTGATCAAGCAGTATTCCAACTCTAGTAAGTTATCCTTCTTTTTCCAGATAGCAACATAAGAACCACTGGATTGGTAAGCAAAGGCAGTAAGTCCACTATTTCCTTCTCCCACTTTCCTCTCATCCACGCTGTACTGTGTAGCAGCGTCAGCCTCACATCCTACAGTTGGAAGTAACTGAACGGATTTGTATTGAAGAACACGTTCCTCTGGTTCAGCAAGAGTGGGGCACTGAGTCTGCCAATCAAATACTTTAACCTCCCATTCGCGGTATGTTTCAGGTACCACTGACTCTGGTAGTTCAATTGGCTTTCCTTCATCACTGAAGTCTGCTCCAAATCCATCCCACTCACCAGAGACTCTTTTGGCAAATTGGGACCAGGCTTCAATACTTATATCCCGCACCGTGGAAATAATTCTACTTCCATCCTACATGGAATAGCAAAATTGGTATCCAAAATACTAAATATTTCATGAATTCTAAATAAGACGGAAGCATAGATTTACATAATCATGGACTATATACATTATCCAAACTGGTGGAGATAGGGGGATTTAAATCAATAAAGCAACAGCACCAACAAGTTACAGATTCACAATTTCATATTATTTTTGATAAAAAAGAAAAACGTAGAGTAAGCACCCATCTTGATATTCAAAGATATAGGCTACATCACACAAGTCCTCTACATATATCACATCCGTGCCTTCAAATGAAAAGTTATATACCAGTGGTTTCACTCTTCAAAGATCACGCTGAGCAAAAATCTGATATTAACAAACCAAATTGATCCCATGTATATATCATTGGTGAATAAATTGGAAGACCATTGTACTAACTAATACATGTATCTTTACTCTCAAGAATGACAAAATGCACACTTGCTCAAAAACTAATCCCTGCAAGAAAAGGTGCCTCTGTTCTTACTTGGTAAGAATTTGTTCCTCCGAGCACATCAATTGGACTATAAGTTTCAACAGTTGCTTCTTCGGCATCTTTATTGACTGAACACATTAAATTTCTCCTGTTTTTAGATTCAAACATACTCACAGCTTCAGCAATAAGAGTATCATATAACACAAACAATATAAGGGGCTACATTTGGTAGTATGAGTGAAAATAGTAAGACGAAAAACAGCAACTTATAATAAACTGTTTTTTGGCCAAAAAATTATCTCCAACCAACCGTTGGAGACTAATTCCTTTCAAAATGTAGAGATTCCAGACGTGATTTTTATCAATCCATGCACGTGGTAAAGAAAGGAACCCAGACAATATACTTAAGAAAATAAATTATCTACTTGTTATTACTTATAATAAACTTTAGATACATTGACATTTCACTCCAATCAAGTATACCCCAGAAGTTGAAAAATCCCCAAATTGCTACCAAGTTGAAAAATCACATTAAAAACAGCCTCAGATAGCAAATTCAATACCTCCTCCAGTTGAAGGAAAATGGTCGGAGTCCAAGCATCCCGGAAATCCCAAATTTCCCATTATGTGGCAGTGAGCCCTAAATTACAGACACATACGAATTGTAAGCATAAAGAGCTAAAGCAAGGAATAGAAAGAGCAAAAGCATAAAGCAGGGGTTAGGAGAGAAATACAAGTAGATGGGGTGAAGATGAAGAGTGGTGTTGTTGAAGAAGGAATGAAGATGGGGAAGTGTTGGTGGTCACAGAAAAAGCAGCCATCAGTGGAAGGAAGCAGAGAGAGCAGTGTGGTGGCCTGAATCAGCCTTAGCCTATAACCGGTTAATCTCCAAACAAAAATATCCAACAATTTTATCCTTCATGTTACCTTTTCATTTCCATTTTGAATAGGAAAATGATAGAGAACCAAATTCATATAATTCTTATAAATAATGTTTGTTAGAGTGAGTTGTTGGAAGAATTGTATAATTTCTGATTGTAAAGATATCACCGCTCTTTTAAATATTCTATCTAAACAAATTCTTTTCATATTCTCAAACATGATCACAATTTCCACAACAATTTTCACAACAATTTTCATTTTCATTGAGTTTGCAAGTTGACAACTATGATATGATTTACAAAATATCAACTAATATTTAACATGGCCGATAACTTTTTTATTCTTTTCATTTTGATAAAAATAAAATAAAACTTATGTATAAAACATAAATTTAAATACAAATTAGTTTGTTTAAAGCATAAAAATATAATTTCTTTAGTTCTTATCCATATTGAGATAATAAATAAAATTATTGCAGGAGTTGCAATGTCTAATTAAGTTGTAAAGGCATGACTTTTTACAATAATTGTTATATCATAATTTAAGTACAATATTTGCTTAGAATAGGAAGTGTTTGGGGTAACTTTACAACAATTTAATAAATTTCAAACACTTGATAATACAAAATTTATGAATTGGCCTCAATGTGTATTGAATGCATCCCAATTTCAAATTAAAAGGAAACACATACCATGGTCACTTTGTAACCATTTCTTTTGTCATGAATAAAAAATAAATAAAAATAATATAATTTTAAAAAAATAATTATTATAATTTACATATAGTTAAAAATAATAAAAACATTGAGAGAAAAAAATATGTTAATTAGTGAAGAAAAGAGTGAATATATTTACAAAATAAAGAAAATAAAATTTAAAATATTTACAAAATAATTATTATATAAAAAAATAAATATACAAAAATTTTAGCACGTGTTTCCACTTATTTGCATAAATTTGACTAAAAAAACTATTTTGACAACATTTATTTTCACTTAATAATATACTAATAATTTAAAATTATTTTTAACTTTTTTTAAGTGTTTTTATACTTATTAAATTAATAAATTAGGTTGTATTGGAAGTTGTTTTGTGTCAATGGACTCAATTTGATTATTTTTTAAGTGATATTTTTATTAAAAATCATACATTGAATTGTTATTCTAATTTTTTGTATATAATGTATTTAAACTATATGTATAATCTAGTCATATGGTACTCATAAATCTTTTATTTGAGGTTAATCATTTAACAATCTATACAATCTATAAAATATTAAATAATATTATTATATTAATATAATGGATTATTGGATGAATAATTGGATTATCAATTAAAAAAATATTATTTTATTTTAAGAACAATGGAAAACATGTTATAATGTGCATCACGTAGCATATATTTGATAAAAAATGATATTTATGCATTGAAATTTTTTAATTATTCCAATAATTTGGTTACTTAAAAAAAACAAATGAAACTGTTCACATTGTACACGTAAAAGTAATTCAAGCGATAATAGATTTTAACCTGAGTGTTAATAAATAAATAAAAATAGAATATTCACATTGAATTTGCGTATAAAAGTAATTTGGTACAATAATATGTATGAGATAATAGATTTTAACCTAAGCGTTGATAAAAAAATAAAAAAAGTAATTCAACTATATAGATTAAAAAAAAGTGAATAATTTTACCTGTGAATTGATTAAATTGTTCTTCTTTTGTAATATATTTTCATTATATATGCATATATATAATCTCATGTATACCTCCTTCTTCTTCTTCTTTTCACTTTTTACATTATATATCAAACAAAAGGGGTAAAACTTCATGTAATAGGAAAGGGTAAAATTGGATCTAGTCCTTTAAATAAAGTCTTGGATTCAAACTTAAAAAAAAAAAAATATATATATATATATATATATATATATATATATATATATAATTGAAAAAAAATACTATTAAGTATGACTAGGTAAATACTTTACACTACTTTACATTTTCACTGTATGTTATGAATTTAACAATATTAGATAAAAAAAAAAAGATTGAAACTTAGATAATTTTTGGTGAAAAGATCCATTTATATTTATAATATGGAGGTTTTTTTTTTAATTTCATGTACTTTATTAAAAGGAAAATGTCCTACTTTATAACTTCATATTTAGTTCTATATACCACCCACTAAACATGTTTAACACACTCATCAATGACCTCAGAAACCCGTGGACATTGAAGTAAAGAGAAAGAAACATGTTTCCACGTGCATTTCATCCTTTCCTTGGCAACCAAACCAACCATATAACCTCCATTCATAATCCTAGCACTAATAAGTTATGAATCACACACTTCTAAAAGTAAAACTTGATTTAAACAACTAAACGTGAGTTAAAAGAACGTAATAGCATTTTCACAAAGATAAACTCGTAGTATGGTATGTAAACATACATCATAAACTCTTGAGTCTGTTTCATATCAAGCTTCGTTTTACGTTCACGTATAGTATAGGTCTTCTCCTAAGGTAAAACTCAAATAATATACCAACAATTATATCACAAACTGTAAGCTATAAAGTTCAAATCAAGATATACTAGTGTATTTCAGGGCCTTAATGAGCTTCAAGTGGCACTCCAATTTTTTCCTTCAGGACCTTAATGTATTCCTTTCTAGCAGGATTCTCTTCTTGTGGTCGATTATATGCTGTCCACACTGGCTCTCCCTTAAACAATCTCATTAACTGTACACAAGCACATATATGAACACAACAAAACTATGATTGATCAACCAAGAAAAGTCCTGAATCATCATATATTTAAATAATCATAAAACAACATTTTTTTTTTCTTCCTTCCACGTCCCAAACAAGAAGCCCGAACAAGAGAATATAGGGTTTTTTATTAGCACAAGGCTTTTCATACCTTCACATAGTTACTCGGGTCTAGGGTGAACCGATGATAAATTCCAGCCGGTAAAATGATAAGATCACCGGCCTTGATCAAAATGCGAATCCAACGATCATCCTTGCCTCTCACATCAAAGTAGCCACTTCCTTCCAAACAATAACGAATCTCTTCATCTTGGTGAATGTGTTCAGTGTAGAAATTCTTCAGCTTCTCTTCATAATTTTCCACCTTTTCTGGGCATAAATCAAGCATGTCCTACAAAACATCCAAATAAAACATATATACATTTAAGATGCAAAGACATGTAAAATCACCTGGAACATTCATAACAAATGATTAGGAAACAACTGCAAACCTAAAAGATTGCTCCTTATTTGTCAATCATTTTGAAATGAACTCATAAATTAACCTCAAAATTATCAGATATCTAAACAGGCGATAACATAATTAGTCTTAGCAAATATGCTAAATTGGATTCAGCCTCAGAGCAATATAGTGTAACTGCTAAATTTTGTCTGTCCTGTTCTTGGAGTCACATATTTGAGCTTAAAGAAATCAACCATGACCTTTTTATAACTATTTTTTAATTTATTTTGATAGCTTCTCGAATCATGTTTATAAATAAACTCTTGTTGATAAAAAAATTTTCAATAAATACTTAAGTTGCTTGTATCATACATTCTTAGTGTACTCCATAAGAGATAGGTGTGATGTTTAAATTAGTTTGTTTTTAAGGGAATAATTCTTTATCAAAATTTTAAAATAAAAATAAAAATTCTTTTTCAGAATATAAGAATTCATAAACAACAAACAACGTGATAATCCCCCCTGTGGCAAAATAACAGGGTCGTGTTTAGTAAATTGAGGACTTTAAGCACAACTTATACGGGTCTAGTCCAATATAAACTATTATCCGACGTTTTATTTTCGACAAATAATATAACTAAATTATTTAACCCAACTTAGAACTTAACTGATTTCAAATCAAATTTAAGTAATTTTAATAAACTTATTTTAATAAAAATAAGTATAGGTATTAACAATAATATTTCATAAGTAATAAGCATCTAGAAAAGAATACAATATTTTGATATAATTCAACGCTTACAAATAGATAAAAGAAATTATTTTTTCATATAATTTTACACTTATAAAAATTACCATATTAAAACGTATTATTTAATTTTTAAATAACAATACTTTATACAAAAAATGAGGCCTTCCAAAGTTCTATGACAAAAGAAAGAAAATATACTCGTGTATGGAGAGATTTTATAATACTTTAGGAATTGAAGGGTTTTGGTAATTTCAGGGAGCACTCTCTTTCGGTTTCAGTTATTGCTTATAACGATGTGAGCCAAAACTCTTGCTTTATCTGAATACTGTAGCAACTCTCCTATCCTAAAAATTTCCAATTCATATCATCTTGGAAATTCTAAATACTAATCTCTTATCATGCGTTAATCGGTGAATATAAGCACTCCATGCACCAACAATATTAATTATCTGATTGCAGAAAACAAAATCAAGCGAATTGAAATAAGAAGTAAAAAAGAAAATATTACTATGTAGTTGTATCCCCTAGCTTCTCTAATGTTGGTCAACTCTTCATCGTTCTCATAGATAGTTGGATTCAGCTTCCAGTATAAGACTCCCAATTCTGCATAACTCACAACCAACATCGCAATGAAGTAAAATTAAAGAGAAATTGATGGGCTAGAGAGAGAGCGAGAGAGATGAGGTCACCTGCCAATTGGTCCAATGAAACTGATACGTTGGGATCGCGACGGTGAGGAAGCCTTGGATCTTCGTTGCTGTCGTCCATCAACCATGCCTGCCATGTCAAAATATCTTATTAATAACGAAACTCTTAGATCTTAATTCATCGATACACAGAGACGAAAAGAACTCACCTCAATCGCCATGAATGATAAGTTTCAACTTTCAATCACTCGTGCTCCTTACTCTAATTCTCATTCGCGCTCCTCTATATTTGTTATCGCAAGACTAAAAAATAATTATTAACCACACGATATTATTGTGGCGCATATTATATGCTTCTTTCTAATTTTTCTTTTACCATATTCGTCCCTCATGTACGTACATGTGGCTGGTGTTGTCACCCAAAAAATATCCTCATCGTCGTTTTATCAGATTGTTGTTTTTCGGGCGTTTGCCTGAACGCATGACTCCACTTTCGTGTTAACTTTATCTAATTTCATGGTGTAGAGAATTGTTTAAAATTTCGTAATATCATTTTTGTTAACCGTACGTAACGAAAATAAGCTTAGACATTTCTATAATTTATCAGATTTTTTTTTCATACAAAAATATATAATATTGTATATTAAGAATTTAGATATAACTTTAACAAGTACTAATTTTTCAGCAAATTTAAAGATGAGAAGAAGAAATAGAAGTGAGAAGGGGAAGTTAAAGAGGAAGAATTATAGTAATTTACCTGAGTAAAAAATACGAGAAAAGCACTAAAATCATGATTTAATAAAAAAATAAAAATTTCTCAATCATATTATTATTAGAGATTTACACTATCAATTAAAATAATTTAATTATGATAATATTTAATAATAATATCATTAGTTTTATTTCTTTATTTATATCCAGTTATATATAATATTTATCTAATTTTTAGAAATAAATTAATATATAAATTTATTATTTTATATTTTATTTATAATTCCTTTATAAATAACATATTTTTCGTAATTATAAGAAACAAAACAAAAAATATTTTAAAATAGACAGTATAATAAAATATAAAGAACCGTAAAACACAATCAATTTATCATTATTTTTATCTCTTATTATTATTAAATACAAATCTTCATTTACATTTTATGTTTTAATTTTTTCTTTCTAGCCAAACCATCTCAATTTAATTTCTATTTCTATTTATTTCTCGGCTCATACTCTTCCCACTCCCTGGATTCCTCCCCCACTCCACTACCAAAGCAAATGGTGCATAAAAGAGAACGGAGTTATGCATCACACATTAAGCCTACAAAATTTCAAACAATCAGTGAAATTACTAGAGTCGTTCATACTGAAACAAAATCAAAATCAAAAGCAGCAATTATAAAGTAAACAGAAGAGGAGTAAGAGTAGTTTGGCTTGCAGAAAAGCTATTAACATTTAACAAGAGGCAGCACGCTGAATTTACATGTCACGTGTTCCTGGGAAAATGGCTGCTCCTCCTGGCTCTACATTTCAACTAATAAAACCTTAAACTTTAGTAACAAGAAATTCCCGAAGGATAAAATTAGATGGCTGATATTACAAAATTGATCTGGTAAGCAGGGCACTCCACTATCCTAAACAAAAGAAATTTGCACAACAGTTAAAGATACTAAAATTGACCAGTCTGAGAACAGTCAATTCTTGCAGTAGGCTCCTAGACTCTATGTTCGCTTCGGTTATACTTCCATCATCTCTGTTCAATCATCTACGAGTCCCCAACTCTGCATAATCTATCTAGCTTGAGTTTTAGCACTCCTGAACATCTACAAAAACAGAGACAACATGAATTATGACAGAAAATATTGAATAAAAAAATGGCAACCTAGCATTAGTGCGGACGGTTTATCATATCTTGATTCACCATTTAGTTTTTAATAGCCATCACAAGTATTATTTTTAGTTTGTGATCTAGTCATGAAAGGTTAATATGAGTTTATAGGTTTTTCATAGAAGCTCGGGGCACAAAAATTCCCCCCACTGCTTGTTTGATGGTTTGCAAATCTCACATCCCCAAATATCAATACAGCAGACAGGACAATCTATTTCAATTCAATTACTATATTTCTGATATAATTTTAAAGGCTTTCAGTCTAATTTTCACATTCTCGAAAGATAAAAAAAAAAGTTTACTGTCTTGCTTCTAGAAGTTGAAGAAATATTTCAACTAACTAACCTTTGTCATTGAGATCAATGGGAAGGGCAACTTTGAGCTGGTTGTCAGCTGAACCACTGGAAACTAGAGGCAGTCTAGGCTGTGGTGGAGAGCTAGTACTACTACGGCTTGAATTCCCATTTGGGGCAGGGACCCTCACTGGAAGGTTCAAATACATCTCGAAGTTAGATGAAGTTATCCCAGTAAATTTCTTGCCTTTCAATCTTCCCCTAACATAAAAGGCAGAAGAGAATAATTCAGCAAGCTATCACTGTAACTATACACTTGTAACACAAGGGCTGGAATTGACGTCTACAAACAAATGGCAGTTTAGTACTACATATACCTGTCCTTGCGCTTTTCAAGATATCGCTGCAATGACACTTTTCTGCTTGCTTGACCATCTACATCTTATTAAAAACATATTATTAAAAAAAGGTGAGGTTTCAACCTAATTATATATCTACTATAGTCATACCTTGCTGGCGGACAGATAGAGGTCCAACAATGTGGCACTTCAGGCCCAACAAATTTAATACCATATTAGAAAGTGAACTTAATTCAACCTCACAACCAGTTTTTAAGGTGAGATTTAAACCTAATTATATACTGTATTTTACTCATATCCTTAAACAATATGAGATCTCTAACACATATACATATTATAAATACTTATGTTCTAAGAATTTGATATCTGGAACCTTATTACAATGCTTTTAAGTGTAATCAACAATTCTGTGTACCTCTTCAAGATACTCGAAATCTCTTATGTGAGTGAAAGAATGTGCCATTAGGTTGTAAATCACCTATTTTATAGTTTAACAATGTCTTAACTGATATAGTACGTCAAACACTAAAAGATTTTATCATATTTCATTGCCTTTAGATTCACACAAGCAACAAGAAGTTCTGTTAACCAGGTATTTAAGCGGAGCACGGACCCATTACCTATATACTTAAAATGGCTGACAAATATGAGCACCAGTGTCTCCAAAAATATCTTGTACAAGCATGGGACCTTTTTACAGGGTAAAAACATAATTAATGAATAGTATCAGCACCAGTACCCATACGTACATGATCAATTTAGAAATGCACATCTAACTGCTAATATTCCATAATACAACAGATAGAGACTTGAGTGTTATGGGGCGTGTAAGTCCCACATCAAATAGCAGGGGATGCTCGGTGGAATGCATTTTGCTCTCCCTCCTTAATAGCTAGCTTTTTAGAGTGGGTTTCCCAAGTGCTTGGGTGCTTACCAACAAACCTATTCTAATTGTAGCTTTCTTTCATGTGCGCTGTAGAAAGGAGGTTTACAACAAATAGGAACAATTTTACCAGCAGCAGACATGGTACTTAAATATGCAGGAGGTTCTAGCAATCAAAAGTAGAGCTTAAATCCAACACTAAGGTAGAAAAGTTGCGGCATAAATCCAACACTAGCAATAACAAAAGCCATTTTAAGTTTCTCGATGGGGTATATGAATCAACAGAGCCATTGAGATCTATCCAAAAATGCAACTTGAATTAAGTTGGTGATTTTTTTATTTTCTTAATTGAAAAAAATCATGAGCTGATATAACCAGAAAAAAAGAGACATAAAATAGGACCTCAATAAACTTGCCAAATCAAATGAAAAGAAATGGGAATACAATATCAAATAAATTCAATAAAGGATGCAGATGTAGCAGCAACAACAATAAAGCCTTATTCCAATAGGTGTGGTCAGCTAAATGGATCACACAGCATCCTTCGCACGGTTAAAATTCAAAGTTTCAGGAGTATTATTTAGCCAGAGAACTACGCCTGTGTTTTTCATAGTCAACCCCAAGCCCGTGTTAGGGAAGGTTGTGTTAGCCCTCAACAGCTGGCGTAAAACTTACAGTTATACGAAACAAGAAAGGATGCAGCATGTTTCCAAATTCAGCCAGTAGTTTATAAGAAAATTTAACTTGAAACTTTCTGTAAGTTTGCCATAAAAAAAAAAAAAAAAAAAAAAAGGAAATGTTCTACCAGAGGAAAAATCCAGATATTTAATTATACTTACCAGTATCACGAGCTATGCTCCCTTTCTCTCTGTATTGCAGAGGATATTCCACCATCTTTTCTGTAAAATCCAATTCAGAACACCAATTATAAAGTTACCAATACCACAACAGGTGTAATATCTTAACATCTAGTTCAAAATTATGGAAGTTATCATTATTTAAGCAAGTCAAAGATGTTGTGCATGTCCATCTTCAAGACGTAAGGACTCAAAGGAACAACCGGTAGCATAAAAAACTCAAAAAATATGGCTCATGAAATAGTACAACAAAAAGAAATTAATAGCTTGGAACCCTATTTCATGATTTATTTATTTTTTTCCCTGTATTAAGTAAAAGCAAGGTAACTTGGCTCATCTTCCTCCTTCGAGAAATAAATTGAATCTGGTATTTAAGCAAATAAAAAGGCCACAGCAATTTTCTGCAAATAAAAAGTTCCAGATTTTTTATGCAACCAGCACTGAAGATTCATTCCCTAGCACATCTGAGTACTGATACTTCAAAGCAAATTTAAGTAATCTTTCTACCCAGTTGCTACCTGCTTGAGCAACCTGAAAGATTGTTGTATCAACAGGGACAAGGGCATCCTTATCCATCGGTAAGTGGCAAGGAGAAGACCAAACTGCTGTGTTTCCATGTAAAGGATCATCCTGAATAAACTGGACAGGACTTGCAGCAAGCTGCATGATTGCTCGTGCCTGAAAATCCAAATATGGTTGCATTGGAAGGTGAAACCTTATTGGACTTATGGCAGGTATGCAAGAGGATGAAGCATTACCAACCTTATCAGGTGAGACTCCATCGTAGACATTCACCTTACCACAATAGAAAATTGTCATTTGGCCAAATGATCCACTAGTTGCACACCCTCTGTGACCAATTAATAAGTAATGTTCAGTCCATGAATGAACAATACATTAAAGAAACACTGGCTTACCTCCAGTCTCATACATTATATGCAATATGTACTGAATTCAAGCTATACAACGTTTTAGATAACCAAATTGCTCTATTCCTATGGAAAGTAGCTATATAATGAATGTTGCGTACATTGTATGACTATCCTGTTTTTGTAAAGATTGCCACAAGAACAGACTTTAATTTACACATTAAAAGTGAAGACACTATAGTAAATCTAGAACTCTAACGTTAGGACAGAGGAGAAGCGGAGATAGTTAGGGACAGTTAGAGTATGAGATAGTTAGTTAGAGGGGATTGGTGAGCTAATAGAAGGAGGCAACGGAAGAGGGCTTCATTTTGCTTTGATATCATTTTAAAAACTGAGTTTGAACTCTATTTTGAAAAGGGAAAGCTTTAGGAGGGATTCAATTCTCTCTTTGTTGTATTCATTTTAATCAAGAAATACAATCTTTTTTCTTTTTTCTTTGTCCATTTATCATTCAAGTTCCTAACAACCAATTATAACATTCACATGAGCTTTATTTTCAGTTTTCAGCTAGGTATGATTATAACTTGCTGCTACTGAAAGCAAAATTTCCTAGAGATTCCCTATACACAAAACATACAATTTCCTACAACTTAGTTGCCACAAATTTCAGTTCAGTCTTAATTTTTTCTGCTTCTTGAATTTTGAAATTGTTGATACTAAACCTAAAACCACTTCTAAACCTAGAGAGTTTCCCTTCCTCCTTTTGATATTTGCCATATGATTAATCTGCATGAATCTTGTCTCCACCTCAATAATGATATCTAGTGCAATATCTAAATAGAAAATTTGAAATAAAAGTAGAATGACGAGATTGTATAAGGTCGACACGAATGGAAAATAACGAACATCAATTAAGCAATAATTATAAACACAAAGCAACAGATATAAAATAACAACAATAGTTATATGCTTCCAATTCACTAATTGATTGTATGGAATTGGATCAATCCACAGTGCTTCCAAAAGGTAACTCCTAAATCATTCATCCCTCCCCAAACCCCGGTGAAAAAGAAAAAAAAAAATAACAAACAACCCATCTAATGCATCCCAGAAAAGTCCAAACGTCCATATGACCTTAAACCTTTTACTAACCTCACTGACAGCAAGATCCAACCCATGATCCCGCCAAGCATATAGAAAGTGTTAAACCCACAGATAGCAGTCACATTCTTTTAAGACTACTTCACTAACGGCTTTTACTCCACCTTCCCCACCCACATAGATTCACTGGATACCAAAAACCCACCATTCGTATCATGTCCCAGCTCACCAAAAAAAAAAAAAAAAGGTAAGAAAACAACGAGTCAATTCTCCAGGCTAAAGGCAAAAGTAAACCCACTTCATTAGCTAACCTTCACTGAAACTCAAATCCTTTATCCCTCTCTATAGTCCGCACCCCCACTCTTGCCTGAACTTTAAAAGAAAACATTATTATCTCCCACAAATCATCAAAGATGTAACTGGCTTGGACGAGATTCCACACCCCCAAATCCTTAAAAAAATCGAGAAAAAAGAGGGTAAGAGAGAGAGAGACCTGGGGCTAGCAACGTTGGTGTTAATAGTCTCCGTGGGTTTTTCCCCAGAAGAGGCAGATTTCTGAATGTCGTCGGCGGCGTGAAAAGCGGGTTCTTCAGGAGGCGGGGCCTTTGACGGCTACAATGAGTGAGGGCGTAACGATTGATGAGATTTATTGTGAGGAAGAAGCAAAGGCGAAAGAAGAAGAAAAGAAACTCACTTGAGGTTGAGGAGGATGAGTATGGTGGTGCATGGGGGCAGGAGGAGGGGAATCATCGTCGGAAGGTTCGAGAAGCGCTTTGAGGGAAATGACCTGCTGGATCGCCTGCGATTTGTTCCAGGAAGGCCTGCGCATCCCTGTACGAACACGTGTCTTGTATTAATTGTTTATTTATTTATTAATAAAGTAAATAATTATGATTATAGAGGTTAAATTAAAAATAACCCGCATCCCGATTAATGCAATCATTTAATAAAGAAAAAATATGGTAGTATAATAATGTGTTAGGGAAATGGAGGTTCTCAGGTGCCGGAAATCATGGAGGAAAAAGAGGAGAGAGAAAGAGAGTGAGACCTTTTTCTTTGAGGAATCTGCGACAGTCTTCGCGAGTGAGCTGAGAAATGTCATCCTCGGTGAGCTGCTTCAGGGGCTTGTCGAGGATGGATCGGAAGGTGGCAGTGCCGCCGCCGTTCATGGCCTCCGATTCCGGCACCCGGTGGTGGGTGGGACCATGAATTTAAGAGAGAGAAAGAGAGAGATGGAGAGTGAGAGTGTTGTTGGCAGGCAGCGTTGGGTTGGGGGGAAATGGGGGAAGGGTAGGGGGGGCTTTTTTAGGAGTTGGGGTGAACCCTAAGCTGCCACGTATGTTTCTGTCTTCATTATTAGCAACTAATCTTCCTTCTCACTATACATTACAATCAATGTTTATCATTTTTCTTTCTTATTACCTTCCTCTCTTTATTTATTACAACACATGTTTTGAAAAAAAAATATGTTTGAAATTAGTGATAAAATATTTTTTTGAACCAATGTTAAAAGAATGATTAGTAAGATTGTGTATGAAAACGTTGAATTTTACAGTAGTAGGAGTGAAAAATGTGGAAGGGAGAAAGTAAGTGTGTTGCGTGGGCGTTGGCGTCAGTTTATAATAATTTGTGTTGGGTGAATAAATTGGGTTTGTCCGCTTGCTTTGCGCTCAGTCCGAGCCAACCAAACCAAACCTTCCACTGTTTGTTTCCATTCACCCTTCCACTCTCGCACTCTCACTTTCACGCCCTTCACACATTTTTAAGATAAATACTCAACTCATACGAATATTAAATATAAGAAAAATTACACAATTTACTTAAGATATCTCAATAAATTGATTGTTAAGAAAGAAATAGCGGAAGTTAATAAGTAATTAAGGGATAATTAAGAATAGAATCTATCACATATTCATGGTTAACTGAAGAACAATGTAGCATATGGTCCAACTGTCTTTTTCTTTGTTCTTGTTTAGTTCGATGGCATTTGATGCACGACGAATTTAAGCATTGGATCTCCTTGGGGCGAGGGAAGTTTTTCAGATGTACTGTGTTGGTTTCAATGTCACGTCTTAATCTTTCTTCCTCACCCTTCTCAGTTATGACTTCGTTATCATTATCATACCTTTATTTTTTGGCAAACAGATTCTTGCAGTTCTTCCTGTAAGATGCAGAAAGTGTCTGGTTTCTTATATATCTTTTATTTCTATTACAATTTTCGTAAGAAAAATTAAACACATAGTGCTTTTTTTAAAAAATTATGTGTTTCCACTTTGGCCTTATGTCGATGTTGATCTGCATCCTTCAAAGTTATTTTGTTGTAACTTGTGCTTTATTAAGTTGTTTGACTTGATTCTAGTGTTGCATGTGGTCCAAATACGTCATCCAAACATGCTATTGATTTCGAGAGAGAAAAAAAATGTTATTTAATTTTTTCCATTTAGATTGAATTGATGCATGTGGGTATGTATGATGCTTGATGCATGATGCATTGGAGGAGTTCTGGTTAGGGTAGAAGGGTTGAAAGGTTCATCAATGTCTCACTGCAGAAGGAAGATTCTTCCATTTATGGCCAAATACTGCATTACTTCTCACATCATGGAAAGTGCTTTACCGTTAACACTTAATATTATTTTATCATCAGGTGCCCTGCCTCCTCTATTTAATAATAATTAATATTAACACTTATTTATCTGTTACACGTCTCTCTCTTTCTTATTTTCTTGCCAGTATTTCTTATCTTTTGCATTTTTTAATTAAAATGATTTTTTAAAAGTTGTCTAGTAGTAATATTTTTCTTTTATTAGTTTATAATTCTTTTATTGTGTAAAGTGAACATTATTATCTTTATTTATTTTGTGATTATAATTTCTTTTTCATTTTGACATCATGATGAATATAGAGAGGGATTGATAAAAGGTTTGATGGAGAATAATGGTATAATTAATAAAAAATAATTTAAAAACCTAAAATTTAAAAAAGATTAAGAAAATGTTGGAAGTGTGAGAATGAGTGGTAACAAACAGGATATTTGATCGGTTACAGTTGAAAATGCATGTCATGAGAAAAGTTATAACTCTGGGCGAAAGAAGTCACTGTCAAGTAGAATAGTTATAAGAAGTAATGGCATGATTTACTTTCTTGAAATGTGTACTCGGCCAAGTCCATAATCAGAAACCCAGAAGTGTAAAGGGCCCATCAGGACCATTATGCACACAGGGCCTCACTTTGCAGACCTAACCCAATGATTTTTCTTTCCATTTCCTTTAAAACAGATACGACTACACAACAATACACCATTCATCGCATTGGGTTATTGGACAAACCATATATCAATGCCATGGTCCATGCTTCGCGTAACAACACTGCAGCAATAAGATTCCGAGTCTGAGTGATGAACATAAGATAAGAGATGAATGAGTTTGAATGGCACAACGAAAGCAAAGTGCAGAGAAGAGGATGAAACTAAACACTGTTGGTCCTGAATCATACAACTTCACATGCTTTTAATTAAATTTGAGTTTGTGAATTGTGCCTCTATGGTATAGGCCTGCTGCATCTGCATAAACATTCATATCTTATGCTTCACTTTTTCCCTTTTCAATTAAGTCATTTACTCTTTATATGCAACTATTGTTGTAAAGGAGTGATGTGTGGGTGGGGCAATTGAATTTATGAGGGATTGAGATGTGTAGTGAGTGAATAGAAAAGAAAAGAGTAGCGCATGTGGCGTGGGTTTGGGTTTCAGTGGGTTCGGGCAAAAGGTTGCGATGTTGGTGCCGTACGAGACATGACCCTGTCTACACTCTTTACCTACACGTTCACACGCCTCCTCTTTTACCATCAATCGTTATTATAACTGAAAATCGATTGCTATTATCTACCCATTTAACCACTCAAAAATGGATTTATTTGAAAAAAAAAAGTATTTTAATAAACTGTGTAGAAATTTAAAAGTGGTGAAAATTGGGAAGCAATGAGGAGGAGCAGGTAAGAAGAAAACAATAGTGGGTGATTTTGTGTTGATGGGGTTAGCCCAATAATAGATGGAGCCATAAATTGGGCTATTTTATTATACTTTTGGTCCAACTTCGACCCGGCAAGGAAATATATCATAAACTCCATGCTTTCTGCTAATGCAATTCTGCTTTGCCTTGTGAACGGGAGACACCCACGTCCCATCAAAGAAAAAAAATTCATATTTTAATTTAAATCAAATAAATGTATATATTCACACTGTAAAGGATTTTAATACTGTCATTTGATACATTATAAGCTTTTAATAATTATTTAAAAGGTTGTATTCAGTTCATGATGATGTTTTATTTATTCAAGTAAAGCAAGCGTTGGTCCTAAAAATATTGGATTAAACACATTTAACTAAAGTTTCGAATTTAAGCATTATAAATAAAAATATAACTTAAAGTTTGTATATGAAAAATTCTCCAACTGAAATTCATCATCAATAATTATGCTTTTGAGAGGAAATTTTATAAATTTAAACACTTTTTTATTCATTCATTAATGAACTTTGAGGCTTTATTAATATTTTTTAAGGTTTAATACTTTTCTCTCGCTTATTTGTAAGAAAAAAAAAATCCAAGTAAATGATTTAAAATAAAGAAATTAGTTTATTTCTCCGATATTGAAAATGGTAATTTCTTATATGTACTCAGATTATAGTTAGGGAATTGATTTACAATTTAATAGTTTAATTTGAGTTAGAGTTTTGAAATAAGTTATTAGACCCATTATATACTATGGTCATGCTATGGTTATGGCCAGTGGATTTAATTTTGTTTAGTGGATTAAAGGGGGTGTTTACAGTGTGTAAATTCAGTTTTAATACTTTTAAATTCACCTTCGGGAAAGCAAGGTTTAACGTTGAGAAAAATTTGTTCGGTGGAATTCTATTTCACTAAGCTGATTTTTTTACCTAATCTAACATTTATAAATTTTTTACAATCCGTTTAGTCATTTAAATTTCATTTAGTTGATTTAAAATTTATTTAGCACTTTTAAATTTGATAACCAAAAAAAATAGTTCCGAAGTTTCAAAATCAAGAATTAGTTAAAAGAGATATTTACAAAGAAATTTATGTTCAAATGAGTAGATAAATATCAAATAAAAAATATATTTTTGATATAAATATAAGAAATTATATTTATATGATTAGAACATATGACATGAACGTGAAAGAAATATGTGGAGTATTATTATATACATAAAAAAAATTTATTATAATTTGAGAAATATTAAAATATATATATATATATATATATATATATATATATATTTTAGGACAAAATAAAATATAATAATTCTACTCATAATTAAAGTATCATACATTCCATTGTATATATCAAAATGAGTATTTTTGAAGAGTTAAAGGAAATTTCTAATTAAAAAAATGTAATGAGTGTATATATCAAACTTAGTATCATTTTACTCAACACTTAGGGTATTATGATATTATAAATGCATATTTATAATGTATAATTTAATATCTAATTTTTTTTAAAGTCGATAGAATCTATGTCATATGACATTAATCCTGAATGAATGGGATGTGATATATTTATACTTTGTGTGGTGTGATAAATCACTAATGAAAAATGATTTTGTACGTCACTTAATTCTCATTTGACAAAAAAATAACCGACTTAAAAACAATGTAGTGATATTTTTGTAAATAAAGGACGCGACTTTTACATCGGTCCTTGTGAGGTTCAACAAAAAAGTCATGTTTTATCTTCACCCAAACTTTTTCTTCCTCGCGTGCATAAGGATTTTCAAGTAACGACGATAACGACCATTCTAGTTCCTTCCAGGGAACATTTCAATCACGATGAGTGACGAAAACACTTGCATTGTGTCCCATTTGTGGTGGTTGACGTCTATCTCCATTTGTATTCGAGTTTTAAAGTTTTTTTTTTTGTATATTTGAGGTTAATGTTCAGTGTCTCATTTGTTTAAATTGAATCTGTGATTATTTATGGAGATTTCAATCACATTATTGCATGAATATCTTCACTGTATTGTTATTGAAATATAATTGTTGTAGTTTGTGATTATCCGTTCATTCGTTTGAGTGCATTTACGGTTTATACACTGCATTTTTATGTTTTCACAATTTAGTTGTTTGAATCCTACATTTTTGTTGTTGTG